GAATACAATTTAATAACGTTTTGCGTGCAATAAACAAACAAAAAAACATCACAACTGTGATTTGAAATATCACAGTTCATAAGTTAATACCATCTGATCCAGTGACGGGCGAGTCTGGGATACACATTACAATCTGACTCCTGTGTGCTTAGTGCGAGTTTTTTAACGTTCTCGATAGCGTAAAAGTTAGCTCATATTTGTGTATGGAATGGGATAATTTGCCTACGTTTGCCGCTAGGGGCGCTGTTCCAACTGTATACAAAATTGACTTAACTTTTACGTACTTTTACGCTATCGCGAATGTTAAGAAACTCGCACTATGCACACTGATCCGAATTCCGTAGACGCTCCAATCATGATTCATGATCAACTGTACAATGTCTTATGTGAGAGAAAATCGCCCAGAGCGACCAAGATCGACCCTCAACCGACTCGACCATCGCTACCCTGACCTCAAAAGCTGCCCTCAGCGGCACCATCGAACCATGGCGCTGCTTAATCAACACCCTTCCAACGCGATACAAATACAATGTACTTTTCCTATACAAAAATACATATTGCCAATTTCTTTTGCTTTTTTATTGCTCTGCGATGCTAGCTGTTATGATCGCCAATCGGTATCATCATACCTTGGTATCCCCCACCACCCTGGTATCAAGCTAATATTCTGCTTTGAAGGGTTGATGGAGGCATTTATGAGGCGATGCATACGTACTTCGAGAACCACTTGCACCTCAAGACCAATAAAAAAGTATTTAAGGCTACATTCATCAAAACGCAACATGATTAGGAAAAGACATTAATACAAGTCATTTCGAAAATAATATTTTCTGATATATGTATCTATAATATTTAAATTGTTTTTAGTTCATCCGTGAATTATTAATATTATTGCATACATAATTTCCTATTACATTTTAAAGTAGCATCATAAATGTCTAACTCCACTGGATTAGCGAATATCAGTCAAAATACACTTTGGAAAAGTTTAAATTAATTAAAACTTTCCGTAAAAACAATTGAGGTGTTACAAATTCAAATTAATAATAATAATAATTAAATACACTTTTTTTTTAATTACACAACTAACCTAATGATATAATACAATTGACTATAAAACTAATTGGAATAAACTTTTATTATTTACAAAAAAAAAAAATATTACATAAAAGCGAGCGCGTTTTTTAATCAAAAGTTAATTCTATATGGTTTAAAGAAAACTAAAAAAAAATGTCTTTTTATTTCATTTTTAAACTACCCATTTTAAACATCGTTTTGGCGCTAAACCAAATTACACATAACCCCAATTTAATATTCATCATTTAATCGTATAAGTCTATTAGCTATTCACTGCTTGTGATGCTGTCAATGGTCTTAAATAGCACATTGTAATGTTCTATTGACATTTACAATGACAGCACTGCAGACAGTAAAAATATAATCTTTGCAAACGCTGACAGAAGCAAGCGATTCTATTGGTCGCATGTGATTCTGGATAATATCTATATCCGTCCGATTTAAATGGTGTGACAGGTTAGAAGCGATACTTCTTATCACACACGGTTAGGTAATTACTTAATACGGGCCGCCTATGTGTAAGAAGTCCGGGTATAAGATCGTATCGCTCGTAATAATCGTACAATAGGGTTGCCATTAAAACATTGCAGTCACGACGCGATGTAGAACGTCTAACTGAATAGTAGAATTTGTGTTATAAATAAATATATACATGGTAGAATTTAAATAATAATTGTACGTAGCGTGGAGTGTATTTTGTGCTAGCTTTAATAAAACTTGATTTAGATTTTTAATTCTCTTGATATAAAATATGAAATACAATGCGACCAGAAATGTTTGTGCCACGACTTGTGTTGCCATACTGCTAATGTGTTGCCACACTACAAACAATTTTATGTTTAGGATTGCCCTAAGCAATAAAAATCATTGATACTTATACGAAATCCTTTAGCATCTTCACAATATCGTTTCAGTAACACGAATATTATTTATACACGAATTATTTTATAGTTATGTTCTGTTTTCTCTTCCCTGATTTGTTTTTTGTTTTTTTTTTTGGCTTTTCTGTCCGTGGTTTTGTTTTAATTTGACCTAATTATAAGTCTTAAGATTGTGATAAAAAAACATTGTCTTTATGCTATAACGTACATACACTTCATTCTTAATTGAAATTAGCATATTTGTCTTAGTATTGATGCTGTTTACCGGGATGCTATTATCGCTCCATTAAAAACAGTTCTTCTGTGTGTGTGTGTTATATCTTTTGTGGGAAAACCGAAATAAATGAACAATAATAAAACCAATATCCAAACTATCCGAATAAATTTACTTTAGTTTGATCGGCGCGCAATGGAATACAATTATAAATCAGTAGACGCCCGAGGTCAACGACCCAGAAAGTTCGCCGCGTGTTGACGAATTCTGAAGCCGAATTTAACTTAGCTTAGAAAATTAATGTTCTTTACTTATTAGATTAATAAATTGCTATTTTAGTCTTCAGATTGGTCTGTACAGGGTGTCCCAGAACTCAACGTCAAGCCGAAACGTGGTGACAGGATTGATTGTGACCATCATGAGAAAAATCAGAAAAAAACTATCCCATGCAGTTTGGAAATTATGAGCATTTAAGAAAAACCTAGAAATTTGGTCAAACTGTAACCATTTTTCGGTTATTGTGGTTAATTTTTTTTATTTTTGTTCATTTCAACTTTGGAACCGTAACCCTAAGTAACATTTCTAGAACCACAGTCAAAAATATGGACACAACTGCCCCAAGTTTTCTAGAATTAAGAATACTATTTGTTAAACTATGAATCTAAAATTTTCAAAATTTGTCGATTTTGGAAGACCACCCACCCTCCTTTAAAAAAAATTTACTAAAGTGCCTTAGTAAGTACCATTAAAAGTTCGCGTATTTAATCAGGATTATAAAATGGTACAATACTTGTTAGTTTCATACTAAAAAAACTAGTAAAAAAACGTGTGGCACTCGGGAACTGCCTCGGTAAAGCTATTGCATAGCATTTTTATCAACTTATGCAATTATAATTAGACAATGATAATTAAATATTAAAACAATAATAAAATAAGACCACGCTATATTTATAAACATTAACTAAAGCAAAACATTAACTGTCCCCTTCACACTCATAAGCTAGACCGCGCGAGAGACAGATGGGCAGACTTTTCATGATCCGCATGCAGTGCGACGTCACGCCGCGCGCTTATTCACAAACACTACACAAGCGCAACGTGTGAATGTGTTGAACGCGAGCTACATGGTAGGCGGAGAGGTGTTAGGTTGTTTTCGTTACGGAATTTCTTGATTCGGTCGCCGCGCTCAAAGCCCGCCATAAAATCTATGCAATAGCTTAAAAAACTAGTAAAAAAATAACAACCTCGAGTAACCCGATTTTTGCTAACCCATTTTACCCCGTTTCGGCTTGACGTTGAGTTCTGGGGCACCCTGTATAGAAGACTTGAGAAGCGACCCGTAATGTACAGCAGATTGGTCGTTAGTATTTTAACTACAATTCAGATCGGGGCCTTCATCTTTGTAACTGTTTTGCACGATACATGCATATATGTATGTATATATACGATTAAAAATCTTCTCAATAAACAATTAATTTTCTATATAATTCAATTCGATTTAATCGTAACCAAAAAAGCCGAATGAATTATATCGATATTAAGTTCGCTGTATTAATTAAGATAATTATTGCTTTCATTAAAATGGAATGCTATTAAACTTTGGCAGTGATAACAATTATTAGTCTTAAGCCTATCGATTTATCGAATTCAGATTATCGATTCGATTTCTAGTCGTTAGATAATATTTATGACAATTGAAGTTTGTCAAACGTCAAAACTATGAATGTCAGAGTGACACCCTATTTCGATAAAAATGAAAGAGAATGGATTCAATCAATAAAGCTTTAAGAGTAAACTTGCAGCTTTTCCTAGTGACAGTAAGTTCAAAAGCACGACGTATTGTAGAATTAGTGACGCCGGTCTTAATATCGGATAAGATTGCACTAACTTAGCGTATACTTTGGGTGGGTCGGTTAAGTATTATAGCAATCACATATCTTTGTGAGACGTCTGAGGGACACTGGAGACTGGGCATCAGCGTTTTCAGAGTACTCTATCACGGTCGGGCGTATTGTAAGCCTTCGCGGGTAGCATCATCGTGCCTATTTCTGTCGTGAAGCAACCACGAGTTACAATTTGGGGGCGGGGACGTGAATTCCACGAAGTAACTCAGGTTTCGACCTCACGTCTTGAGACAGGAGGTGGGATGCAAGCGGTCACGTCAACGATCTCCCCTTTGTAAATATGGGAGGTAAGTGATGTTTTATGATGATCAAGCGCCACGCCCACACCTGCCTTCGAAGATTCTTGGAGGGTTTTAACGATATCACCCGAACAATCAGACATGATCTCGAGCAAAGACCAAGATGTTGTAGCTCGGGCAGATATTCCGACCAATTTAAGACCTCTTGTGAGTCCACACGGGTAGGTACCACCGCCCTGCCTATTTCTGCCGTGAAGCAGTAATGCGTTTCGGTTTGAAGGGCGGGGCAGCCGTTCTAACTACACTGAGACTTTAAAACTCATATCTCAAGGTGGGCGGCGGCTTTTACGTTGTAGATGCCTATGGGTTCCGGTAACTACTTAACACCAGGTAGGACGTGAGCTCGTCCGCCCACCTAAGCAATAAAAAAATCGCTCAATTCTCAAGACCAAACTGAATGATGGTCTCCATAACGCTAAGCACGGAGACAGAGGAATATCATCAAAAGAGAAATTGATCTAATTAAAAAGTTATTCTTTTTACGATACGGTTCAATCTTGCGTTTTTTATAGAGATCATATCGAGGGGTGAAAGGATATTTAAGCAACTTCTAACTATTAAGTTAACTTTAAACTATTAAATTAACTAATTTCTAACTATTAAATTAACGCGACCTTTATCTTTGTAATTAAAGGCGCGTTTTATTTGGTATTAGCATTAGCAACAGTTCGATGTTTTTAACTTGAACTTCAGTTACGTTTACCCCATGCTAATAGCTGAAGAAGTCTTTTTGGTTATGATTAGTTTCCCCAAATTTTAAAACTTTAAATGGCTCTCCTGTAAATTTGCCAAAATATCGCTTAAATACCCTCCCAACCCTCGAATCAATGGTTCGGACATTACGAATACTGCGTACTATTCGTAGTCATCTGACCGTGAAGGTATACCAGATTAATCTCTCGTCATATCAAGTCATATTGTTACGCCGGTAAGAGTAACGCCATCTATCGCCGAATAGCCGAACGAATATCGAAGGATCTAGTAGCACCTAGAACGCTCGAGAAGCACAACGCCATCTATTGTCAGATTGCGGAAACACATCGAGGGTACTCAACTTGCCGACATCACCACCACCCCGTAATCCAACAGTAAGAGTATCGATAAGATTATTTTTAATAGCATCAAACTACAGACTATAACAGTAACTCCGAGTACAGATAATACTGACAACGCAATGTACTCAAAAATTCATCCTACCCTCCTTGATGCGAATATAACTTGAATCAGAAATTTCCATCTATTTCATTGTAATCAAATACTAATGACGTAATGATTCATTTAATGTTATCTCATTAGTTTCATAAACCGGATACTCCGAGAGCTAGACGCGGCGGTATCACGGACTGAGCCATTTCCAGTCGCACTATAGTCTAAGAGCTAGGGTTGCGTTAGTCTAAGAGCTCGTTATTTTTTCATATACCTCGTTACGTTCTAGTCTAGTATGAAGCCTCGTGTCCGGCCAGTATGTAGAGATCGTTGCCTTCGTCGTTCGACATTGTGTTGCTCTGCAGAGTGTGAGACTCCAGTACTACCACCCTGAAAGTACAGATATACTGGTCTAGTAACGTACTACTGGGCCTACCGCTTACTGTCCTTACGCTGCTCTGCTATATACAGCCCAGTAGTGCAGTAGACGGTAAGTTACCGGAGCCTATGCATCTTGAGTTTTGAACTGAACATGACTACTTCGCGGTGAATATAGGTAGACTGGTGGTACGCACCCGTGCGGGCTCATAACACGCCCTCTGTTGTCTCAACCTCATTCCATCAGGAGGGGTCGACACTACGAATTTTTCTACTCCATTTTCTTCTATCAGCCGTCATCTCAACACTCACTCCTCCGCCAATCACTACTACCAATTGTACTTTTTTATATTTAATGTATTGAATTGTTTATTTATTTTTTTGGTATACAATAAAGAATACTCTGTCTCTCTCTCTCTCCCTCCTCTCACTCTTTTTTTTATGATTGAAGGATCACTGGTGGTCCGAAGGCCTCACTAGGACAGGTGGGCAAGCAGAGGCTCAGCGAGGAGGGACCTCTCACTCCTCTCTCTCTTTACGATCACTCCTCTCTCTCTCTCACACTATTACTCGTCTCTCTCTCTCGCTCTCACACACTTCTCTCTCTCTCTCGCACTCTATCGCTCCTTTTTCTCTCTCTCTCTCACCCACTTCTCTATTTCTCTCTCTCTCTCACACTCTCCCTCCTCTCTCTCTCTCTCTCTCTCTCTCTCCCTCACACACACACACACTTCTCTATCTCTCTCTCTCTCACACACACACACACACTCTCACTTCTCTCTCTCTCTCTCTCTCTCACACTATAATTCCTCTTTCTCTCTCTCTCTCTCTCTCTCTCTCTCTCATATCGTAATTCACATACTCCATCCACGTCTTCTCCGGTCGACCTCTCCCCCCTCTACCTTGCAATACCATTTCCACACATCTCCTCTCCACACTACTGCTTCTCCCACAACACGTCCTGCCGTTAGCTGGATATCAGATGTCTGTATGTCCGCGTATAGAGGAGCACTCACTTGTCGTGCGGCAGCAGCCTGTAGGCCCTGGACTGATCCGTGATCTCCTGGGTGACCTCGGCGTTGCGCAGCGAGCGACCCTGGACGCCGTGCCGGTGGAACGCCAGGACAGAGTCCGCCAGGCACACTGCAATAACACAACAGAGCATCGATATCGATACTTAACTCATCTCCGCAAATGTCTTAAAAAATTAGTAAATAAAGTTTATCGATGTCGAATGTCGAATCGCTGACAACAGTCAGTACCGCACGCATTGCCGATGTCCATGGGCGACAGTGACCACTGAGCACCACATGAGTCGCGTGCAATAACGCAATTACGAGTTTCTATTTTCTGAGCTTTTTTTTGTATGTCCTTATGGTGAAGCCTTTTTGTAGTCCCACACGGGAAGGCACCACGACTCTGAATATTTGCCACAAAGCAATAATTCGTTCCCGTACCGCCGTTACATCATTTGAGTCTTAGATATTACGTCTCGAGAGAGGTGCTCGCATCGTGCGGTCCACGGGCTCTACACTAACAACAACTATCGACACTCACATATACTGTCGATATTAAAGTCGAACTCTATTCTGGAGAGCAGCTTCCCCCTCCGCTTGTCGTCGTCCCCGCGCCACCGGCCCGCGTCCAGCGAGGCTGGCAACACCGGAATGATGTCCACCACGTTCTCGTAGCACACTAGCACCTGGCAATACAGTCACAAAAAAACATTTTAGCGAACTTTTTGGCGGGAACGCGAGGAGTGAAGTTGTGTGATTTGTTTTATTTTGTCTATTTAGTGTTTCTTCGGGCTTAAATGTGTAATAATGGTGGTTTATTAACTATTTAATATCTGTGAAAGTTCACAAATGTGGGAAAATAAAACAAAGCCGCTGAACATAACTTCTCGGGATCCTCCAAAAAGTACACTGAAAAAATCTCAGTAAATGACCACCATTTTTACTGAGATTATATTTCATCCCATATCATTTCATTTAATTTCATCCCAGTTGATTAATGTCTCAAATTAATCATCTTCATTTCATATTATTATTTTTCATAAAAATAAGAATGTAAATTAAAATAAGACATGACTTAAAGGTCTTAGTTACCAGGTCATAAAATCCCTTAAAAAAAGCATTTCAGCACTAAGGAAATTCTGAAAATTTTAATATTAACATTTAAGATATTTTATTGTTACTGATGACATACTAGTAGATGGCACGTCTGTTGTTAAGCGCTACCAGGGCTCATGGATATCATCACATCACAACATGAACACATTCGTCAAAACTCCCCACCATTCAAACTGGACAACTGAACATTTAGTCTAAATCTACCCACCTCCAAGAAAAACAAATTGAGTCAACTAAGCCATAAGTTTTGGTAGTTTCACTAGTAATTCCCTGTATACTAACTGGAGAACCGAATGTCTATAGACAAACGAGGTCTTTTTTTTGCATGCAGACGAGCATACGGCCCGCCTGATGGTGAGTGGTTACCGTCGCCCATGGACGTCAGCAATGCCAGGGGCAGACCGTCAAGTACTCTCCGCAAGCTTTGTTTGAAGAAGCACATGTCATAGCGCTCGGGACACACCGTGGAGGGGAGCTCATTCCAAAGCCGGATGGTACGTGGGAAAAATGATCTCTGGAAACGCACCGTGGATGACTGCAGCGATTCCAGTTTACTTCAAGAAATAGACGAAATGAATCTACTATACCAGTGTGCTTAGTGCGAGTTTTTAACTTTCTCGATAGAATAGAGCAGCGGTCGGGGAACTTTTTTGACTTAACGTTTACGCTATCGAGAACGTTATTAGTGTTGGAATATTTGTTAAAGAATAGTTTGTAACACTAGTCTGTGGAACATGTATCTGTATAATCTACACTGCTCTATGGTAACTAAATAAAAAGTACTCCGTGATGGCTGATTAAAACAATTCTATTTATTTCTCTGATCGATCGCTATTATAACGCTGAATAAAACTCAACAATTAGGGAACTTTTACGCTATCGAGAACGTTAAAAAGCTCGCACTAAGCACACACACAGCTCATCGGTAAGTTTCGGTGCTTTGGACCAGTAGTCTCCTGTGTACTGACCGAGTGCTTGTTGAGTTGGTGCACGGCCCTCAGTGTGTGCAGGCGCTCCGGTCGCGGCAGGACCGTGTTGGAGCCCCCAACGCAGGGCTCCAGCTCGTCTGAGTGGAACCACGTCGCACCTGGGACCAAGCATTCAACTCCTTAACATCGGTCCCAAGCTCGGGTGAGAGATTAAAACCGCCCCGCCTATTTCTACCTTGAAACAGTGATGCGTTTCGGTTTAAAGGGTGGGGCAGCCGTTGAACTATACTTGATACGTTAGAACTTATATCTCAAGGTGGGTGGCGCATTTACGTCGTAGATGTCTATGGGCTCCAGTTACCACTTAACACCAGGTGGGCTGTGACCTCGTCCACCCATCTAAGCGATAAAATAAAATAAAATCTTGAGATGTGAGTTCTAAGGTTTGAGTATAGTTACAACGGCTGCCCTTACACCCTTCAAACCGAAACGCATTACTGCTTCACGTGAGAAATAAGCAGGGTGGTGGTACCTACCCGCGCTGACTCACAAGAGGTCCTACCACCAGTAAAAGGGTTTTACAAGTTACAAAAACTCCGCTTTTTTCCGTCGATATATGTATATCCAACGTTTCACAAAGCAAAGAGACAAAGCACGTTGTTCTTGTTGGGACATGTCTATGGACCACTTGCTATCAAGCGTATACTCCCTCACATTCTCACCATAACGCGAGCTCTTTAAGGAGCACGTAGAACGTGTCGATCGCACCTACATTATGTTTACTAAAGTAAAACCGCACCTGAGTTGATGTTGATAAGGTTCAATCTCAGGGGTTTCCTGGTGGCGCCGATGCACAGCAGCGGGTACTCGGAGTCCGGGGTTATTATCAGTTCGAAGACCGGTAAGGGCGAGGGTACACTACATTCTATGTTCTGAAACGAAAATAAAACAAGTTTGTTCTGTTGACGCTACGAGATTTTGGCTGCTCTGACGAGCGCCTGTCACTTTATCCCTACTCCGCAGCCGACCGTCACGCGACATGCAACACACAAGCGAAAAAGTTTGAGACGATGTAATAATAAAAGTTTCAAAGAGAACTTACTTTGAGCAACATGAACTTCCTGAGCGGATCGTACCACTGCATGAGGAAGAGGCCCGCGGGAGTGGCGCCGCACAGGTACTTGTACCCGTTGTAGGGGTTGCGGGCCACTGCGCAGCGCGTACAACCTGGACAACATTTTCGGTATACCATACCGGCAATATTACCGGCCGGATACTGATGGATGGACGGCATGGACATGTGATGAGACGAAATGACGAGAGCCACGTTTTTTTTAATATTTTTGGAACGAAGTTCCTTATCGCGCGTTGTGAAAGGGGGCTAGACGGAAAAAATTCTTACGAAAAGTTGTCACGACACTTTTTAGATCCGTCATTCTGACCAATCAACGTGTAGGCGCTTATCGCGTGACATTGCTCGTATCCGATTGGTCCGCGTAATGAGTACAGTTTCTCGAGATAGCGTTTCAACAATAGTAATTTAGTTCATAGTATTGTTTTTTTCTTCTTCATAATGCCGTAATTTATTATTATAACTTAAAAAAGAAATTACAATTCCTTCACTAATTAATCGAAAGGAACTTCGTTCCATCCGGGTGTCCCTTGACACCTCTGAAGTTTTTTAAATTAATATAAAAAATTTAGTGTTATATAAGTTATATGTTAGAGGAAGTCTGAAAATGGCACCTGTGACAGAAGTTGAGAAGTGCGCGTTTGAGATGTTATGAAACGAAATGACTGAATGAGATTGGTAAGAGAGTTTTAAATATGAACGTGGAAGGTTTTAGAGGAACAGGTAGACCTATGAAAAAATTGATGGATTTCGTGAAGACGCTTATGATAGAGGAGTATGGAAGGAGAAAACATGTCGCGCCGACCCCAGATGACTGGGAGAAGAGCGGGAGAATGATGACATACCGACAATATTAGGCCAAATGGTTCAGTAGACAATGGCCGTAAAAAAATATTTTGATGGCAATCCTAATCCTAAATCCTAAATCATTTTTTCTTACACTATTTTTAATTCAAATTTAATAAAATTTATTTTCTATTTTTTAGTTGGATTTTCTATAAAAGCGTATTTTGTTAGTTTTTTTTAAACTGTTATTTTCTGTACTGACGCACGACCTAGCCCGCTTCTTTGCTTGCCATGAGCTATATAAGACAAGGTATGATTAAAAGCTGTACCTCTTGTGTCTGGGAGGCGGGTGGTGAGGGCGAACCGTCTGGGCAGCAGCTTGGGGGCGAGGACCCGGAGCGACCTTCCGCCCCGCGCGCCTCCCGCCAGCGCCAGAAGCTCGTGCCGGTACAGAGACGCCGTCTTGCCTGCAACCGGCACATTACTGGTAGTAGGACCTCTTGAGGTCTCTATGTCCTAAGGAATTGTCCTAAAGGAGAGTCCTCCTAGATGAAATCACAGACGCGATCAACGACAGGAGGCGATCCTGCCAAGCTTTTTTTTATTGCATAGATGGATGGACGAGCTCACAGTCCACCTGATGTTAAGTGGATACTGGAGCCCATAGACATCTACAACATAAATGCGCCACCCACCTTGAGATATAAGTTCTAAGATCTCAGTATAGTTACAACGGCTGCCCCATCCTTCAAACCGAAACGCATTACTGCTTCACGGCAGAAATAGGCAGGGTGGTGCTACCTACCCGCGCGGACTCACAAGAGGTCCTAACACCAGTAAAAGGCCTCTACACAACGCCTCGCATTTTTTTTCGGGTCTCTTACCGCCCCTCTTTAGGCCTTCAGCGCCCACAAGGGGGCGTTATCGCCCACTTTGGGAAAAGCCAGTCTAAGCTATTGTAACTCCTCAATCAATTCATGATATTGTAATGTCGATGTATAGTCTTAACAGCCATGTAAGTATGTAAAGTGTTCGGGACATCCGAAGCAATATCACGGGAATAACAAACGGTAATATAGTTTTAATTGTCTATGTACATTTTTGGCAGCTTTTATTATAAACTTTTTCACTTGGCAGACCCTGATGATAGAGCACAGAGATGATAGAGTACAGAGATGATGAGACAAGACCATACCACCTCAAGACATGAAGTTGGCGTCTCGATTTTCTTGAATAAAAGCTGTCCCTTCCAGCGAAGGGCACGATTGCTTCGCGGCAGACATAGACAGAATAGTGGTCCCTACCCGTGCGGGTCTTACAATAGCCCAAACCGCAAATACAATCCAACTTTGATTTTCACACGAATTTATTCCCTGATGGTGGTAGGACCTCTTGTGAGTCTGCGCGGGTAGGTACCACCACCCTGGCCATTTCTGCCGTGAAGCAGTAATGCGTTTCGGTTTGAAGGGCGGGGCAGCCGTTGTAACTATACCTGAGACCTTAGAACTTATGTCTCAAGGTGGGTGGCGGATTTACGTTGTAGATGTCTATGGGGTCCAGTAAACGCTTAACATCAGGTGGGCTGTGAGTTCGTCCACCCATCTAAGCAATAAAACCATGCCGAGGGGTCAGCTGTGAGGGACACCGGCAACGTACTCACCCGACAGCGACATGAGGACGTCTTTGATAACGTGCATCCATATGGTCCTCCTGGGGCAGAGCTGGTCCATCGCCGTCTCGTGGAGCTCGTTCAGGTTCAATGTATAGATGCCCTCTTCAGCACCTGAAATCAAGGATCCACTGCGTCGGTCCTGGCTTTAGGATTGGTGACCCAAATGGTCCCCTGAGTTGGATCGATTTTCGCTACCCGTTATGGAGGTAAGAGTAGTTTTTTATTGCCCATGTAAGCAGACGAGCATACGGCCCACCTGATGATAAGTGGTTACCGTTGCCCGTGGACTTCAGGCCATGCCGCTGCCTACCGTTAAGTCCACAAGCCTCGTTTGAAGAAAGACAAAGTTAGTTAGTTTATGGGACCGCTAATAGTATTGAGAGGGTCAGTGTTCGTGTCAGCCCAGCTCTATAATTCTAGGCGTTCCTGTCGCATTGCAATCGTGATCTTGAAGGAATCAGCTGTTATTAGTGACTCGGCCATGTTTCTATTAGTGGCCTAAGATGACGCTCACCGTCTTCTCATATATACGTCGTGAGGCAACTAGGATGTTCACCAGTGACCAGACAGCAGCGGTCTCCAAGTATTGTATCGGCGTGATGCAGTCGATACAACCAGGATTGACGAAGCGGTCATTTTAAAGGATGGATAAAGATGTCCACATTGTCACGTCTGGGCTCAGCTAACCACTTGAAACCGGCTCTCATCTATGCATCTGGAATACTGTCATCTAAAAACCGAATCAGCAGAGATAGGCGTCATCAATACCATCAGGCCTAGGGTACAGGTTAACCCTGATTACGAAAAGGCCACATGAAAAATTTAAGAAAAGTTACAGTCACTGGAGCCCATTGACTTCAACAACTTAAACGCCGTCAACCACCTCGAGATGAGTTCCAAATCTTAATTCGCAGTACAAATGCCCCACCCTTCAAACCGCAACACATTACTGCTTCACAACGAAAAGGCCAGATTCGAATCTATCAGAACCACGCAGAATCTTACCTATCAGTATGTGCTGGTCTCTCGTCTCCGGGTGTATCCACGACGCCGTGCAGTTTATCCTTAGCGGACATCCGTTGAACACCTAAAATTTACAAGTTAACAGGGTTTACGGCTGTAACCTCATCATGCTCCTGTAATGATGGCGCTAACGGCTTTAGTCCCCATCGACACAGCCCACTGAGTTCCTTCTCAGTGGGTCGCGTTTCCGATCCAGTGATAGATTCTGCGAAGCACTGCTCGTGCTAGGGCCAGTATTAGCATTACTCCGGTTTGAGCCCTGTGAGCTCACCTACTAGTTAAGGTTACGCTGAAATAGCCTCTCAAGGCTATCAGCTTAGGTAGGAAAAAAAAGGCTTTAGTCACTGTGGTATTTGGTATGGTCTAGGCCAGGGGTTCGCAAACTTATTTTGTCTACTGCCCACTTTGAGAATATATTATTTTTTAGCGCCCCCATTTTTTTCGCCTACTTAAAAACTACTATAGCGAAAAAAAGCTCAGTCGGTGTCTAAGAGTCCACCTAGATGAAATTACAGGTGCGATCAGCGACAGGAGGCGATCCTCCCAAACCTCTACACAAGGCCTCCATTTTTACCACTCAATACCAGGTGGGCTGTCAGCTCGTCCACCCATCTAAGCAACAACATAATAAAAATCGTGGAAGTCGTTCGTGAGCTCTGTGTTAAGTACGTATTTCATTAGGGCTATTCGTACCTGACTGCGGGGTGTCATCACCGACATAGTAGCACACACGTTACCTTGGAGAAGCAAGCCCCCATGTGCACCTTGGGCGTGGGGGGGAGTCCGTTCGGTGCGGGGCGCGGAGGGGTGAGGCGGCGGGAGCGCGCGCGGCGGGGCGGCACCGGCGGCGTGCCCGGACCTGACACTGACAGACACGGCCATATTGGTGTATCGGCCATATTGGTGTATCGGCCATATTGGTGTATCGGCCATATTGGAGTATCGGCCATATTGGTGTATCGGCCATATTGGTGTATCGGCCATATTGGTGTATCGGCCATATTGGTGTATCTGCCACATTGGTGTATCGGCCATATTGGTGCATCGGTCATATTGATGTATCGGCCATATTGGGGTATCGGACACATTGGTGCATTCAACTTACCAGTTTTTGTGCTTTGTCCGGCTGTATCAGCCACGGATCATGCTTATTTCTATAGCGCGTATATTGACAGTGACATAAGCACCATGGAGTACATGACGTGAGAGTACACATATCCCCCTATTTACACGGTAACTGTTTCACGAAATTTCGCTTTTATACGATTTATAGATTAACGGAATATATCTTGAAAACATTTTTCGTTCTCATTCATTTGGCAACACTGATGACAATATCCTTAAGCCTCCGGGTTTTGTCGAATACAATATATATATTTAGCGAACTATGTACTCATAATACGTACACACGAAAACGGTAGGCAATAACTTGGCTCTGCCCCTGGCATTGCTGTTGTCCATGGGCGACGGTAACCACTCACCATCAGGCCGTATGCTCGTCTGCCTAGGGCATTAAAAAAAAGTCTACTAGAGAGAGAGAGAGAGAGAATACACTTTATTGCACACCAAAACACAATTTACATTCAAAAAAACAATCAAAAAACAGATAAATTTGTACAATAGGCGGTCTTATCGCTAAAAGCGATCTCTTCCAGACAACCGTATAATTTATAGAAATTCTGGAAAATATAAAAAAAATATGGCAGGTATGTTGCGGTGTACTATAGATAATACATTANATTGGTGTATCGGCCATATTGGTGTATCGGCCATATTGGTGCATCGGTCATATTGATGTATCGGCACATATTGGTGTATCGACCATATTGGTGTATTCAACTTACCAGTTTTTGTGCCTTGTCCGACTGTATCAGCCACGGATCATGCTTATTTCTCTAGCGCTTTTATTGACAGTGACATAAGCACCATGGAGTACATGACGTGAGACTACACATATCCCCCTATTTACACGGTAACTGTTTCACGCAATTTCGCTTTTATGCGATTTATAGATTAACGGATTATATCTTGAAAACATTTTTCGTTCTCATTCATTTGGCAACACTGATGACAATATCCTTAAGCCTCCGGGTTTTGTCGAATACAATATATATATATATATATTTAGCGAACTATGTACTCATAATACGTACACACGAAAACGGTAGGCAACAACTTGGCTCTGCCCCTGGCATTGCTGTTGTCCATGGGCGACGGTAACCACTCACCATCAGGTCGTATGCTCGTCTGCCTAGGGCAATAAAAAAAAGTCTACTAGGGCAGTTAATAACATCGCCTGTGTTCTATTGTTCCCTCTCTAGTTGAATTAGTAGTCTTTTGCCACCAAAAATCTCTCACTACGATATGTACTTGTGATGTGTATTAAGCGGTAGGCAGCGGCTTGGCTCTGCCCCTGGCATTGCTGAAGTCCATGGGCGACGGTAACCACTCACCATCAGGTGGGCCGTATGCTCGTCTGCCTACAAGGGCAATAAAAAAAAAAATGTTTTCTGATATACTTTTGTTTGTCTATAAAAGTCTATTCTATCAGCCCACAGACGTCCACTGCTGGACATAGGATTCCCCCAGCGGATCCTCTGGAACCTCAATAAAGTCTAGTTATAGTTAATTGTAATTGGACTCAAAGTTCCTTGTCAATGACCGATAGCCGAATGCCTTACTGCCGCTAACCTTACCTTTGTTCTCGACTTTCGCTTTATCCCTCTGACTGTCGCTCAAGCTCCTCTGTCGCTGACTGACCTTCGCCTCATCCTCAACCGAGCCCTCGACGTCTTTCTCCTCAACCATTTTGAATATCTCATCGACGGACGACGTTTTACGTCTACCCTCAAACTCGCACTGACAGAACTGACTCAGGTCTATGCCGGAAGTCGTCGTATCTGGCCCGTGTCGATTGTGCCGTTTCCTGTTCTCGAATTTCTCGTCCATCTTGAGGCTCATGTCGATCCGCCGACAGAGGTCGTCGTCCGATACGCTTCCATTGCGGGTTTCGTCATCAGCCATGCTGAGGCTGTTCGCTATCTGTAAAGCTCGGAAGTTCGAAACGGATATCTTCTGCTTGTTGCATTTCTCGCAGTAAACGATACCAGAGTCAGAGTTCTGGCTAGTACAGTTCCTGTAATAGCTGAGGATATCGCCGTTCGAGTTGCAAGAGTCGCAAGAGCATTTCGGCGCTACGCTTTTCTGTAAATCGCTCAGAGTGTTGTCGCCTTTCCTCTCCGGCTTCGGACATAAACCACACTCGCAATTCGCGTTCAACAACCGTGGCGAATCCTCTAACTGATCAACGTATAAGATGTCTTCGTCGATTTCTCGCGACGTGCCGATCGGACTTTGAAAATTCGAAGCTAAATTCTGGTAAATGTTCGTACTAGAATTGTTCAAGTAGTTTTGTTTCAACTGTATACACTGCGAGAGGTGTTGGTCGTGCAACGAAAGACCCGTGTTGCCAGCCTGCGGCAGTGTCGTGTCCGCTGTCAACGGTAGTGTTGCCCTGTTAAAATTATAACAGACATTACCATTTTAGTAGTAATTTGTTGGTTGTTAGAGATGTGGATGGAAATTGCTGTGCCGTTACGCTTTAAGCTTTAAAGTTCGAGTGCTGTTAGTCACACGTTGAATTTAACTTTAAATATATTTCGGCAATAGTTAACAAGTTGTGCTCGGCGGGACACATAGAGAATCAAAATTATCTACGCCATATTTCATTGTTGTTTTTTTTTAACTCCATCTAAAAGCATTATAATATCGAGAGGTGAAAAGCTATTTGATTTAAACGACATTTTTTCAATTTTACAAGAGGGCCAGTGAAAGTATAACATTTGGCGATAATACCGTAACAAAAAAACTACTTCAGCTGTTTTTTGAATGGAGTATAAACTTAATTGAAGTTCAAGTTAAAAACATCGAACTTTTGATGCTAATACCAAATAAAACGCGCCTTTAATTACAAAGATAAATGTCGCCTATTAAGCGGAATTACCCTTAAGCCAAATAACTTTTCTCGCCTCGATATCCTGCTACAACTATGATAATGTGAACAATATACATGCTACATCTAAGCTATGCCAACCTATTTTCATTTAGAAAATAGCAATAGACTATTTTTTGAGCGCCTTATACTTTGCATGTGACAGTTGTTGATGCTAACTGCTCTTGCTAGGGCCAGTGTTAGCAACACTTTCGGTTTAAGCCCCGTGAGCTCACTTAAACGTTTGGTTGAAGCTGAAATAGCCTCTCAAGGCTATCGGCGTAGGTAGGGGAAAAAAGATACTAACTACGTGTTAAGACATAAATCTTCTTTGGATCTATACAAGTCGGGCTGTGTTAAGACGCGATTCAAATTACGATACACAAAGGCCTCAATCGGCTTCAAACAATATGAAACAAATGAAATTAAAATATGGAAATGTTAATTGACCCACATCGGCATCGTAAGAAAATTCATTGGGAAATTCATAAGTGGGTCGCGAATTATCAATTAATAAAAAGGGAAGGTAGTTGATAATGTATACGCTACGAAAAGTCATCAAAAATAGTATACACTACTAAGCATGCTGGTGCAAAAATACTATGTGCTTAATGCGAGCTTTTTAACTTCTAGATCGCGTAAAAGTTAACTTTGTATAGAGTTGATCCCCATCTCCCTTTGCCGCTAGAGGCGCTGTACCAACTGCATACAAATTTGAGTTAACTTTTACGTTATCGAGAATGTTATAAAACTCGCACTAAGCACACTGAGGAGAGTAGCATCGCCAATAAAAATGAGTCTGATGAAGGGTAAAAAACACTGAAGATATCTTGAAGTGACATTAGAAGTCATTTATTAATGTCACATATAAATTAGAATCCAATTGTGCGTCGAGCCGAATGCGAACAATTATTTAAAGTCAAAGGGCGTTTTGGACATGCAAATATAGCGCTATGATAAATTCCCCTGCGTCACTTTCACTGTTCACAATGCTACTACCCACCGTAACTTTTCTAACGAAACATTCACAAAAGCTTCAAACTATAAATAACAAAAAAACGCATGCATTTCGTTCGTCTTATACATTTTTACCTGAGCATCAACTCTTCGTCAATATATTGCAAGAGGCTCCTAAAACAATAAAGACATAACTTACATAACAACAAACACACGGTTCTAAGCTTTAACTATTAAGAGATATGGTCTATATTTGTATCGTTTTAAGGAAGACTAACGCAGAATTTTATTAATCACAAACCGAATTATTCTGTCAAATGAGCAAGCAGTATGTATTAAATTTTTTTTATTGATTTGATGAGTAGACGAGCTCACAGCCCACCTGGTGTTAAGTGGTTACTGGAACCCTTAGACATCTACAATGTAAATGCGCCACCCACCTTGAGGTATAAGTTCTAAGGTATAGTTACAAAACGGCTGCCCCACCCTTCAAACAGAAACGCATTACTGCTTCACGGCCGAAATAGGCAGGGTGGTGGGGTACCTACCCGCGCGGACTCACAAGAGATCCTACCACCAGCAAATCACAATATTTCTAACGGTATTATTAATACGATATACGTATATAAGATTGATTCTAAATACGAAGACATTAAGGCATTCACATTGTGAATACCGCCAATACTACAACTCAATTACCTTACGCGGTAGAAATGGACAAAATCGAGACACCAAGACTCGCAACATTCTGGTGGTAGGATGAATTATAAAACTGGCAGCAACCACCACCCCGTCTATTTAGGACGGCCGCAGTAGAATTCCAATTACCATTGAGAGCCAGACATTGCGCCTATGAACTTCAGACATTTAGCACGAGACAAACCGTGACTTCATTGACCAATCTAAGCGATAGTTCAAAAACTTAAGCTCCAAAGTTTCGTTTAGCTTCGAGCTTATGAATCAAGCCGGTAAGAGAATTTATTGGGAAACTACCATCACGGACGCCTATCAACGTACCACCAGTATATTGGATAAATAATACTAAATAAAGACCATATCTCTTGGTGGTAACCACACTTGAATCCAAGGCAAAAAAGACAACATTGTAAACACACTCAAATCAAAACGTTTTTTTGCACACCTTGCCAAGTCTCAAATGCGTGGACACTCTACACCAGTGTTTCCCAACCTTTTTTGTGCCATGCCCCACTGGCGCATTTCTAAAATGTTTATGCCCCCATACATAATATTTAACATTAAAAATTTAATTTGTTCATTTAAGAAACATAAATGATAGGTTTTAGAAAGAAATCACTATGAAATTGTTATCAGAACACAGTAAGTAATATTTCAAAACATTTAATAAAAAACTGAAATTCAAATTCAAAATGATTTTAATACAGATTTTCTATATATTTTAGTTCGATTGCCCCCCCTTAATTATCAAATTGCCCCCCCTTCATTATCAAATTGCCCCCTTGCGGGGCGTGGGCTTCACGTTGGGAAACACCGCTTTACACGCATCTTTCTTTACATACAACACTATATCCGTATCCAGCACACCAATATATTATGTACTTAATGTGGTCTCATTATAAACATGCTTTTGAAAATTTGGGTATATTGGGTAAATAAAAACCTTTTTTATGTAAAACCTTTGAAACTGTTTTGTTCTATAAAAAAGAGTTTTGCTTATATAGTTTGACAGAACTCTCTGTCATTGAGAAAAATTGTAGTTCAGTTTTACTTCATTCAATTATACTGTGTAAAATCTTTATACATAAATATATTACTTCTGTGTGTGTGTTTGCCACTGAACTCCTCCTAAACGGCTGGACCGATTTGAATTATTTTTTTTGTATGCGTTTGCGTGGCGCCCTGGATGGTTTAGATTCACAAATCAGTCGCTGCAGTCGATATCTAGGTTAATTTATCTTTCCTAGAAATAATTTATAAGGTAAACCAACGTTCAACGGGTCAACTAGTAATCATTTAAAAAGGAAAATAAAGGCATTAAATGTTGTTTTCTTAATATTGTACAGAAGTCTTTTATTATTGTTCAACCAATTTTAGAATATTCAATATAATTATAAAATAACATTTTAAGCCCTTTATTCTCCTCTTTATATAAGAAAAATCTTTTTTTACCAAAAAGTAAAAAGTTTCAAAGGTTTTCCATAAAAATTACATACAAAAGGATTTTCTTTACATATTTACATTTTTTAATAGTTTATGTATAGCTATATCGCGGTCCGAACTATTTCAATTTCATGAAAATCAACTCTGACATGAAATAGTAATTTGTAGTAATTTGTGACATTATCACGTACGTGCAAGGTTTAATGTCGTGTGAAGTTAATTAATATTCTTTTTCTTTTTTTTATTGCTTAGTTGGATGGACGAGCTCACAGCCCACCTGGTGTTAAATGGTTACTGGAGCCCATAGACATCTATAACGTAAATGTGCCACCCACCTTGAGATATAAGTTCTAAGGTCTCAGTATAGTTACAACGGCTGCCCCAACCTTCAGACCGGAACGCATTACTGCTTCACGGCAGAAGAAAAGCAGGGTGGTGGTACCTACCCGTGCGGACTCACAAGTGGTCCTACCACCAGTAATAGTTATCTGTTATGTCTCAAAAAAAAAAAACATTTGAACAAAAAAAAACCTTTAGTAATTCCAATTTTTATTAATCACACTAGTGTTATTGACAAAACAAAAAAAATAAAGAAGAAGAAAGGTTGACAGGCGAACGAAAAAGTAGTGTATTAATTCTTTTTTTTTACTTATACATATTATTATATATACAGGTTTCCTGAATCTACTTCGAATATGATTAGATTACTATATTATTGAATGAAAAAAAAAACACTCTGTATATTAGTGTACAGGGTGATAAAACAATTAAACCTTGCATTTAAAAAAATACATCCATATAGCTGATAAGAGTTGGAAGATCAGCATTTAATTTTGTTTATGTATGTATTATGTGCACGGTCTCCCTACTGTTAAGTGCGACTGTAATATATCGCTAAAAGTAGACCTAATCAATCAAATATCACTTACAATCGTAACGATTCGCGTCCAAAGATAAATTGATGAATAAATATTTTTCGTGAAATAAAATTTGAAATATATTAAAATAACAACAACCATATATCACTTCGAACCCTTAAAATACTTACCCCTGGTATATGTTTAATGCATTACACAGTCAAGAAAGCCACTCATAAAATTCCCACCAAATGCATGCTTCGTGTATAAAATACGCATTATTCACATACAAACCGTGACATACAAATTTTTATCTTAAATATACTGTACATACATTTTTATATGTGTAACGATTGAAACAGATTTACGGTTAGTTAATGTTTTGAAACTATAATTCGAGGGGTGAAAGAATGGCTATTTTGTTAAGCCATATTGCGCAACTTTACAGGAGAATACATTTGAAGTTTAAAAGATGGAAAAAATATCATTAGAAAAAAAACTTCTTCAGCTATATTCGAATGGAGTAAACTTAATTGAAGTTCACTTAAAAACATCGTATTGTTGATGCTAATACCAAAATAAAACGCACATTTAATTACAAAGACTAGTGGTCACCCGGTAGTCGAAATTCGACTATAATAATTTTAAATTATAAGTTTGTACAGTATTATGATTCTATTTTCAAAGACTATTATCTTCTATAATCACAAATTTCGCCAAGACTACACTATAGAAAAATATTAATAAAAACAAACAATATTTAATCTATTCTCAATTTGACCACAGACGTCAAGAACAAAAGTTTGACAATAAATAAGTAGTATGCATGCGTGTGTGCGTCAAATACAGGGTAGTGTGTGTAATGTTTTCTTTATTGATTTAATGTATCTTTTATGCATTATTTTAAAAAAATATTCCATATATTCTTTATAAGTGTGGAAAATTTCATACTCCACCGTCCGCGCAATTTTCGTAAAAAAGGATACAAAGTTTTTGCTTCACGTATTAATATATAGATAAATGTCGCGTATTAAGCGAAATGTCGCTTAAACCAAATAGTCTTTTACACCTCGATATAGTCATTCTCTTTAGAAGCGACAAAATTTTTATTGCCTCGCTGACTCAGTAGTAAGTAATTTTTTAAATTGCACAGGTCCATACTCAATTCGTTATGAGAATAAATATTATTGTTTGTTTCTTTAGTGTATTCTTGGTACTTTCCCGGCGAAGGTAAGCACACGGCGTGCCCTTCAAAACTAAACGCACCGAATTGCTTCACTGCATAAATAGGCAGGATGTTGCTATTGTTACGCCGGTAAGAGTAACGCCATCTGTCATTAAATAGCAGAAACGAATATCAAAAGAACTAGTAATATCGAGAACGCTCGAGAAGCGTAACGCCATCTATTATCAAATAACGAAAACACACATATCGAAACGACTGGTCTTGCCTGGAATGTTCTCGATAATTGTAGAGTTATATCGACTATAAGAGTTAGTAATCGGATCTATTCGAAGCGAAACAGCGAAAAGATCACCTGACGCGAAGCAGAAGAAGGTGGTAGGACCTCTTGTGAGTCCACGCGGGTAGGTACCACCACGCTTCCTATTTCTGCCGTGAAGCAGTAATTCGTTTCGGTTTGAAGGGTGGGGCAGCCGTTGTAACTATACTTGAGAACTTATAGTTCAAGTTGGGTGGCGCATTTACGTCGTAGATGTCTATGGACTTCAGTAACCGCTTCACATCAGGTGGGCTGTGAGCTCGTCCACCCATCTAAGCAATAAAAAAAAAGTGAACTACGAATTGTAAAGTGTTCCTTAAGTGTTCTAAGTGTTTAGTAGAGTTTTAATTTGTACTTCAATGGAAGTTTTATTTATCCCGAAACCACAGCGTGTACCTACGCGTGTACCTACGCATACGCTTAAGTACGTATTTTATTCCACCTGATGTTTAGTGGTGACCGGAGTCCATAGACATTAACAACGTCCATGCCGTCGCGCACTTCGAGACAAGAGTTCTAAGGTCTCAGTTTTAACAGGACATCGGCTACCCCGCCTTTGTAACCGAAACGCATTACTGCTTCACGGCAGAAATAAGCAGGACGGTGGTACCTACCCGTGCGGACTCACAAGAGGCCCTACCATCGGTACCTGCTTGCAAGATTCGAACCCCAACACATTTAAACTGCGCGATACAAATACACCGGTCGTCTTATCCTTTAACCCACGACAATATCAAACTCAATACTACATACTTACTTACAAGCACAAAATTAATTCCCCAAAAAAAAAACCGTAAATCTTTTCCAATCGAATTAAATCAATGAAAACCTTCACCATTTAAGCAAAAGAAAAATGTTAAAATTTTGACCAATTAAAAAAAATTATATATAGATAATTATATTTATATATAAGAATACCTCAAACTCATTTTCAAAATATCATCACCGGTCGCCCGACACCACTTGCTACAAACACGTACAAATTAAATAAATATGTATACATATATATATTTAAAAAAATAATAAGTATAAGCCTAGGTTACTAAACTAAAGTAGTATTACGTAGATGTAAAGTGAGGCCACGTAATGCAGATATGCGTTCGGCTCGCGTCGAAAGATACGCAGCCATATTTGAAATCTAATCTTTATTCATTAAAAAATTAGACAAAAAAATTCGCCATCAGATAAACGAACCTCATAGACACTGAGTGTGACCATACCCTTGCGACCCATGAGGTCTAAATTGATATAACGCATAGCCAATCAAACCAAGGGGATCTGTTAAAAAAGTCTCTCTGTATAGATTATCCACACATTACTACACATATTTACTTTAACTAGTGGTCCCGCAGTAGTCGAAATTCGACTATAATTAATTAAAATTATAAGTTTGAACATTAATAAGGTTCTATTGTCAGAGACCATTATACTTCTTTATTCACGGATTTCGCCAAGACTACACTTTAGACAAATAATATTAAAGATAAACAATATTCAACCTATGCTCAATTTTACCACAGACTTTAAGCAATAACAAAAGTTTGACAATAAACACAGAGTATATAATATATATACATGAGTGTGTGTGTGTGTGTGTCAAATTCATGGTAGCGTGTGTTATGTTTTTTTTATTGATTTAATGTTTTATTAACGCATTATTAAAAAAAAAAATTAGCATTCTGCACTCCTTCTATATATTATATTCTCTATAAGTGTGGGAAATTTCATAGATCTCCGTCCGCGCAATTTTCGTAACAAAGGGATACAAAGTTTTTGCTTCACATATTAATATAAAGATTCAACAATGCTTATTCACATTCGGTGGTGAATATTAGCATCTACCACAAATAGAATAATAATATTCAAATTACGCCCCCACCAACCCCTATAATTGGGCAACCTTACTTCAATAAAACATATCTAAGCGATGACCTATAACATTAGAATTTAAATTTGTTGTGTGAAACTAATAACATTTAGGTAATTATATACAAATAAACATGAATCTTTAAGTGGTCACCGGAGCCCATAGACATCTACAACGTAAATGCCGCCACCCGCCTAGAGATATAAGATTTAAGGTCTCAGTATAGTTACAACGGCTGCCCCGCCCTTCAAACCGAAACGCATTACTGCTTCACGGCAGAAATAGGCAGGGTGGTGGTGTCTACCCGCGTGGACTCACAAGAGGTCCTACCACCAGTAATTACGCAAATTATAATTTTGCAGGTTTGATTTTTATTACACGATGTCATTCCTTCACCGTGGAAGTCAATCGTGAACATTTGTTCACACAAAAATTGGTACCCGCCTGCGGGATTCGAACACCGGTGCATCGCTACATACTATATACGGATGCACCGGACGTCTTATCTTTTTAAGAGAAACAAACAAAACAATATTGCAACGTGCAATGTACAATGTCGGCTAATCGTTGTGTTGGGCGTGATTTATGCATGGTTTGGACACAAATGACGTCACACGTACGTCACGTTACGCTTAGCCGAGTTCCGAATAGTTCGCGAGAATGTTTCAAAAATCACAGTTATAAAACAAATTTAATTTAAAAATTTATATGTTATTTATATATTTTTATTATTATTATTATTTTGTATATATATAATTCTATTGTATGTGTGTATGTCACAGAACTCCACCTAAATGGCTAGACCGATTTGAATGAATTTTTGAGCATGCATTCATTCATTCATTTNTTTAAACTTTATCTAATTTAACTTTTTTGTATTCATGTCTATGATAATAAAATCCTTTTGTTTAAACTTTATCTAATTTAACTTTATTTAACCAATTTCTAGAAAGTTGCATGTAGATCATTTTTCGAAAAATAAGGCCATAAAGAAGTTTCACTTCTTACGTGTGTACACTAGTACACGCACACATATTTTTTTATATATTTTTTTATTTTTTTTTACATGTCGATGTCTTGATAAATTTAAAACTCCTCGTTACTATAGAATAGTATAGAACAGCATTAAAACAATCCTCATATACATAAGACACACATTTTTGTTCTAAACGCTCTAACCCCCACCCTCATTAAATACATAGACATATATAATTTTTGTGCTTTATTTAACTTACTTTTCGCTGGAGGGCATCGTGTCCAAGGACAGATCCTGAGATATCGGATTGTGTTTCGGGCAGCTTATGATCGAAGCCACGCTCCAGTCTTCGCTCGATTGTCTATGGTACACTGGAAGTTCAAACAAAAAATGCTTTACACATACATTGAATAAAAGAGCAATAGAATTTACTGGTGGTAGGCCCTCTTGTTTACTGGTGGTAGGACCTCTTGTTTACTGGTGGTAGGACCTCTTGTGAGTCCGCGCGGGTAGGTACCACCACCCAGCCTATTTCTGCCGTGAAGCAGTAATGCGTTTCGGTTTGAAGGGTGGGGCAGCCGTTGTAACTATACTGAGACCTTAGAATTCATATCTCAAGGTGGGTGGCGCATTTACGTTATAGATGTCTATGGGCTCCAGTAACCACTTAACACCGGGTGGACTGTGAGCTCGTCCACCCATATGAGCAATAAAAAAACTCTTCCTGAATGACCTTGTAACAGTATTTAGAAATATATTTTAGGGGACTGAACTCAACCATTATTCGAAGCTGTCGTGTAACGTGTGACGTCATTTGTGGTTAAAACAGGATAACCATAGATCATACAAGCTACAAATACGCCCAAACAACATATGAAACAGTTTCATGAGAAAATTACTACATCAAAATACGGTGGAATTTATAAGGATAATCAATTATTTATTTTAATTTTAACTAAAAATATTTATAGTAATGCTATCTAAGACATAAGCGCATATATAATAGAACTAGCTGTACCCGTCCGCTTCGCTGGCCATTCAAAATTAACATTATTATTTCTCACCCCCACAAAGATCCTCATCATTAACGCCCCCGCAACTGGTCTAGGGAGTCCAACAATCATATAAATATTAGCCTATTCATTAAGTACATGTATTGTCTACATGGATACCAAGTTTCAAGTCAATCGTATGCATGGTTCAGTAGTTATAATGTAACTATAATGTATAATGTAGCCGTTGTAACTATACTTGAGACCTTAGAACTTATATCTAAAGGTGGGTGGGGCATTTACGTTGTGGATGTCTATGTGCTCCAGTAACCACTTAACACCAGGTGGGCTGTGAGCTCGTCCACCCATCTAAGAAATAAAAAAAATAAAAAAACATCCGTATAAACCACTGTAGATTTATATATTAGTACAGATTAGAATTGTTTTCAAACATAGTTCTCGATATCGAGATGTATTACCAGTGTTATTGATGGTGTCAGCCCTGGCGGCCGGGGGCGCGGTGAAGGTGATGGCGCCCTCCTCGTCTGAAGGGGGGGCCGGCTCGGGGACCAGGCTGGAGCGACACATCATACACTTAGCACCATTACAAATTAAACATTACTGTAAGCTTTGTAATCTGTATATTAATAATATGTGAATCAAAAATGTTTGTACCCCTTTTTACGAAAATTGCGCGGAAGGAGGAGTATTAAATTTCCCACACTTATAGAGAATATAGAGGAGTGCAGAATGTTTATTTTAAATTATGCATAAAAAATACATTGAATCATTAAAAAACATTACACGCTTTTTTACAATAATATCATTTTTACTTACACTATTTTTAATTCAAATTTATATTCTATTTTTTAGTTGGATTTTCTATAAAAGCGTGTTTTGTTAGTTTTTTTAAACTATTATTAATTTTTCATTTTTTAGTTGAATTTCAATTTTTTTAAATATTTTTTTTTAATATTCAATTGTCATCGGTCCTTAATAAGTATACCAAATTCCGAGTTAATCCGACGTTTTGAAGGGAGTCAAAATCATGTTCAAAGATTCCGTTACATACATACGTCTGAAGCTAATAAAAGCGTATTAAAAAAAAATTGTCTATGGGTTAGTCAATACGAACATAATGTTACAGTCACATTACCTTCTCGGTCGCAGCCTGTCGACGGAGTTGTCTGGCGAGCGGAGCCGCTCGGCGAGTATCCGGCGCCCCCCTCGGTTCGTGTGGCGCGACGCTATGCGTTGAGGCACACTCGATATACCCTGTATAAAAATTTGGTCTTGATAAATCATTTTGGGTCTTTGAGTGAAAGCATTGAATTATAGATGGCACTGTGATCAAAAATAAGAGTTTGGTTTTTTTATACGGATCAGCAGGTGGGCTCACGGGATCAACCTGAGAGAAATGCTAACACTGGCTCTAGCAAGAGCAGTGCTTCGCAGAATCTACCACCGGATCTGAATAGCGACGCACTGTGAAGATCCAGCGAGAAACTCGGTGGGTTTTCGTTTTCATGGCAATTCAACGTCAGCCGGGCGCGCTAGTTACGATTTTAATGACAATTATAAATGACTAGTACCGCTCCACCATCAACAGATGGCGTTAAACGTAGGTTCATACATATTTATTTAATGTACGGTCTATGCACGTTTTGATTCTAATTTAAAATATTTATTTGTTTGACTAACCGCGTCCTCGTCCGGCTCCGGGTTGCAGTGCGTCGGTGGATTCGAATACTTCTGCAGCAGCTCTATCGCTAGCCTCTTGCTCATCTCTTGCAGGAAGAACGGATGCTGATGAAATAAGAAAAACATTATTTTTCGGACATCTTTAAATGCAGAACTTGTTCGGTTCCGATCCGGAAGGCGAGCTCCCTCGTTTGTATTATGAGTGATTCGGTGCAGTTGTTAGCGGTCCTGACTGCCGGGCCGTATGTATGCAGGATGTATTGATTTATTTTATCGTATGTATATAGATATGTATATCAGTCTATATGTGCCACAGTACAGGACACTTAATTTGGGGTCAGGCGACTCTGTGACTTGTCCTTGGCTATTATTATTTTTATTACTCCCCGCCTACACTCCGAATCGCTGCTACCTTACGCCCCACCAAAACTTCAACTATCTCTGACCGGTCAAGTTTGAGAGCCGCTTCACCTGTAACAGTTTCTGAGCCGTGGGTCTCTTCTTGGGATTCTTCGTGAGCGCCAGCTTCAGGAACCCGTGGAACAGCTGCGACCACCGCTCCTTGTCCCTCAGCTGCGGCGGCTTGAAGCCCGACTTCGACATGAGGAAGAGCACCCGCATCGGATGCAGCTCGAACATAGGGGGCTGGAGTTCCGCTAGTTCTGAAATAGTTCGAAAATTAACCTTTTCAAAGAGCAAACATGGCGATTTGTGACGTCACTGCTATTTGTATTTTTTTTATTTTTATTTTCTAAGCAATTTTATGATCTGGTAACTAAGACCTTTAGGTCAAGTCTTATTTTAATTTATACTAGCGACCCGCCCTCGCTTCGCTTCGGAAACTGTAATTTATTATTGATTTCTCCACTATTTAATGGATGTTATTATACATAATATAAGCCTTTCTCTTCAATCACTCTATCTATTAAAAAAAAAACCGCATCGAAATCCGTTGCGCAGTTTTAAAGATTTAAGCATACATAGGAATATAGGGACAAAGAAAGCGACTTTGTTTTATACTATGTAGTGATTCTTAATTTTATGAAAAATGATAATATGAATAGAAAGAGATGGAGAAGTCTCTCAAAAGCCGCAACCAAACATTAAAACGTAAGTAACCACGACCGCTTCGCCAGGAGTGTACGACTGAAAAGCAGAAGAAGTATGAAGTGAAATGAAATGAGATGATATGGTATGAAGATGCTTTCAATGGACTTTTTGGAGCATCCCGAGAAGTTATGTCCAGCAGTTTTGTTTCATTCTCCCACATTTGTGCACTTTCACAGATATTAAACAGTTAATAATCCACCTTTATTACAGATTTAAACTTGAAGAAACACTAAATAGACAAAATCAAACAAACTTTTTTATAGTAAAATCATTTTTTCTTACACTATTTTTAATTCAAATTTATTAAATTTATATTCTATATTATTTTAGTTGGATTTTCTATAAAAGCGTATTTTTTTAGCTTTTTAAACTATTATTTATTTTTCATTTTCCAGTTGAATTTCAATTTTTTCAATATTTTTTTAAATATTTAGTTTTCATCGGTCCTTAATAAGTATACCAAATTTCGAGTTAATCCAACGTTTTGAAGGGGGTCGAAATCATGTTCAAAGATTCCGTTACAAACATACATACATACAAGTCTGAAGCTAATAAAAGCGTATCAAAAAGACCATTATTAAATCTCAATGTCAAACAGTACTTATACATACATATATGCACTTTCTATGTTTAGTACGTGATTTATTTTACCCTCAAATGACGTCACACGTAATGGATTGCTAGCAACATCACTTGACAGTTTTTCGTTGTCAACTTATTGAGGCCTGATACGTACCTATGGCTGTTATACCGCAGGCCCATATATCGCAGAGTTGGTTGTATCCCCCCTTCCTCTCAACCGCGGCAACCTGGAAAGAAATATGTTACTATGTATTTGTCGTGTCTTCAAAGTTCCTATGCCGTCAACTGACCGAAGCTGTCGACTACATTTTGCCATTTTTGTTTACTTTGTAAATTTTTCTTTATTTTATTGTTTAGATGGGTGGACGAGCGCACAGTCCACCTGGTGTTAAGTGGTTACTGGAGCCCATAGACATCTACAACGTAAATGTGCCACCCACTTTGAGACATAAGTTCTAAGGTTACAACGGCTGTCCCACCCTTCAAACCGAAGCGCATTACTGCTTCACCGCAGAAATAGGCGGGGTGGTGGTACCTACCCGCGCGGACTCACAAGAGCTCCTACCATCAGTAAGTAAACACTAATACTGATGAGTTCACAGTCCACGTGCTGTTAAGTGATTATAAGTGCGCGTAGACAACACGGGGATCCGCCGCCATACTTACGACAGACTAGTGCCTTGTTCGTATTGCAATAATCTTTCAAAATGGAACGCATGAATTCTTTGCAGTAAAATTAAGGGGGATGTTGATATCCACCCCGTTTGGGGTGACAACACATCGAACCACCAGAAACAAAAGGGGTCGAATGACGGAGCTCATAAAATGCCTTGGTATATAGGATAAGACAGCCGATGCGACTAGGCCGGTGTTCAATTCTCGCATCGCCCCTAATGAAAAACGCACTTACGTTAACCATAATAAAATAACATCGGGTAATTAAAACGAAACGCACAAATATATTAATATGCTTAACTGGTAGGTCGTGAGCCTGCACAGGTAGATACCACTGCCCTGCCTATTTCTGACTTTTTTTTCCTATCTATGCTGATAGCCTTGAGAGGCTATATTAGCTTCTCCTTGACATGTAGGTGAGCTCACGGGGCTCGAACCGGGTGTGTTGCTAACACCGACCCTAGCAGGGGCAGTGCTTCGCAGAATCTACCACCGGATCGGAAACGCGACCCACTGAGTAGATCCGGCGAGAAACTCAGTGGGCTGTGTCTATGGGTTAATTCGCTCGTTGAGCCCTTCATCGCAAGCGGGTTCGACGAGGACATTGACCGGTACTTGTGGTACCTATAAGCACCGTTAATGGATCAGGAGGATCCGTAATGTTTAGGGCGACATCGGCTGTTTACCGTTCGGTCTACAGGACCAGGTATGTAATTCCCGGCAGCCACGACCAGAGAGAGGGTTCTCATGTCGTGCCGCCTTTTCAAAGTGGCGCAATTATACCGACTGTAGATACTTACTGACTGAATTTGAAGGTTAGTGTAGCCGTAGTACTATAGATCTAGGACTTAGAACTCATGTCTCAATGTCAGTGGTGACATTTGCGTTGTTAATGTCTGTGAGCTCCGGTAACCACTTAACACCAGGTGACCCGCGAGCTTAGCCAAAAAACACACAATAGGTACAGTATAGTACAGTAATATTGACGTACCTCTGGCGCCATCCAATAAGGGGTGCCAATGAAGGACTTCCGCTTGTTGATCGTGGCCGTAATCTGAGCAGAAACCCCGAAATCTGCAAGCTTAACATCGCCGCATTCCGTCAACAGGATATTAGCACCTTTTATGTCCCTAAAAAAAGAGTAGGGTAGTCAGAAAAATAAAATTTTTTTGCTCATATATAGATGGACGAGCTCACGGCCCAACTGACGACTGACCTCGTATGTCGTACCTTCTTTTTCTCCACCTTATCCCACTAGGTGAGGTCGGCACATCTACTTTTTCTCTTCCACTTTCTTCTATCCGCCGTCATCTCAACACACACCTCTCTCACTATTTCAATATCGTCATTTACACACTCCATCCATGTCTTTTTCGGTCGAACTCTTCCCCCTCCAACTTGCACTACCATTTCCATACATCTCCTAGTCACATGCATCTTCTCTCTCCACATCACATGTCCATACCACACTAACCGTCATACCATCTGTAGCAAATGACCCCATTAATTTTGGTCTACTAGTGGAGAAGATACCGGAAGGGTGTCATTTGGAAAAATTTACAAAACCCGCATCCGTAGTGCGTTTCCGTTGACCTTTTCTGCCCCGCACCATCCGGCTTTGGAATGAACTTCCCTCCACGGCGCTTTCCGACCGCTATCACGTACCCTCCTTCGAATGAGGCTTGCGGAAACTACTAAACAAGAGGCAACGGCTTGGCTATGCCACTGGCATTCCTGACGTCCCCCAACGACGGTAACTATGGTATTTACCATCAGATAAGCCGTATATTCCTCAGCCGTCAAAGACAATAAACAAAATCTACAAAATGCATATTCTTTATTGGTGGTGTTATTTAAGTATAATTTATTTATGACCAAAATGAACGACAAGCCAATACGCAACAATTAGCCACATATGACATCACACATTCCAATTACCGTTTAGCTTGACGTAAAATATGACTTGACTTTATTCACTCTATTTACAAACACAAAAATCGTTTAAACAAATATCGCAAGAAGTTCTTCGACGAAACGCAAACTTTCAACTCACCTATGCATCTTCCCCATGCCGTGTAAATAAGTCAAACCCATAAGGGTCTCTCTACACATGTAGGCTATTTGAAGCTCTGTCAATGGCCCAGTCACGTGATAGATGTCCTGAAATTTTCAAGAGGAAACGAAAATGTCTTTATCTTTTTTTTATTGCTTAGATGGGTGGACGAGCTCACAGCGCACCTGTTGTTAAGTGGTTACTGGAGTCCATAGACATTTACAACGCAAATGCGCCACCCATCTTGAGATATAAGTTCTAAGGTATCAGTATAGTCACAACGGCTGCCCTACCCTTCAAGCCGAAACGCATTACTGCTTCACAGTAGAAATAGGAAGGGTGGTGGCACCTACCCGTGCGGACTCACATGAGGTCCTACCACCAGTAAAAAAGTTATCTTCTTTTAATGCTATTTTAAAATTATTATAGTAGTTGATCTAGCATCTAGTTGTCGCTAAGCGACTTCTCAAACAGCACTGGTAGGTACTACCGTAATATCTACGTCTGCCGCATTTGGGGTTTCCGGTCTGAGGAATCGCTATAGTATTAAGAGTCTACGTCTCAAAGCGGGCAATCCATTTTCTTATGTAAATGGCCTATGGCAACCGCTTTTCTTTAAATTTTCCTCAAAGACAGGCAATGCAAACTGACGATGAACGATCACTGTTGGTCATACCGTGCAGTTGCTAATGTCAGGTACATAACCAAACTGCCTACTGCTCACTGAAAGTCACGAGATTCAAGTCCTGAAATCTGGAATGTCGCTTAAAAACGAACTCATATAAGTAAGAGTGTACATTTAGGTACTGATACCCTCCTCTGAATTGTAGGTTCGTTTGTTACAGCAAACCAGATATAAGAGTCACTAGGGATGTTACACTGAACTCGGAGTGCGTCGCGTTAACCAATGACACAAAAGCTATTGCTCTTGGCGACGCGGTTCCCATATCGCTAAGACCTGTCTTGTTGTATTTCAAACGGGATTTTGAAAGAGCACTCCGGGCATAGGCAGCTACTTTGATGTACATTTACTGGTGGAGGACCTCTTGTGAGTCCACACGGGTAGGTACCACCACCCCGCCTATTTCTGCCGTGAAGCAGTAATGCGTTTCGGCTTGAAGGGTAGAGCAGCCGTTGTAACTATAGTAAGACCTTAGAACCCATATCTCAAGGTGGGTGACGCATTTGCGTTGTAAATGTCTATGGGCTCCGGTAACCACTTAACACCAGGTGGGCTGTGAACTCGTCCACCCATCTAAGCAATAAAAATAAAAAATAAACATCAAAATACACCAAGTATTATGGCCTAAGTGGCCGGGCATTATGCAAACCGGTTTAAATAGCCTAACCAAACGAAGGCTTAGCTTCCGACGCCCCTACATCACTGACCTGCAAGCTCCCTCCACCGCAATACTCCATAGAGATCCACAGTTTATCCCTGCGCAGATACGAGCCGTAATAAGCGACGATGTTCGGATGCCGGCAGTCCTTCATCATGAGGATCTCTTGTTGGATGATCGCGAAGTCGTCGCCGGGCTCCAGTTTTATCACCTTGATGGCGGCAAGTTCACCGTTGCCGTTAAGCCTTTTCGCCTGGTGAACAAAGTTCGAGATCGTTTAGCATTTTTGGTAATACTCCTGTACGCTGACGAGGCTACACGTAATCATTTGATTCAAGACATCACGCCCCCTGTCGTCATCTTTGGCGAGATCTGAGGTAACAATCTGGTAAACATGTAATGGATAAAATCAGTACAAGCTATCCGCAATCAAAGAGACTTCGGTGGTAATTTTGAACGTTAAACTACTCTCTTCCTGGCACTAAAAAAATGCTATATTATGTTCTAAAAAATAAAGATTTACAATTATTATTGCGATCCGATCGCAAGGTGGATGGTGACATTCGCGCTGTTATATCATATTATGATGGCCCTCAATACCGTAGGCCAGTATGTCAGGACGTATGGAGGCCGTATGTTATCTTCCAAATCCCTGTGCCTGTCTAATTTTTAAAACGTAGGAAAAATAATTATTTAATATAATATGTTCCATTAATTCTATTACGTCATCCGTGAAGTACCGACTTGTGTCGTGTGATATGACTTAGTGCGGGCGATGAAAAATCTTTATTACCACCTAGTAAGCAGTAATGAAACACAAGAACACTTTTTACTTTTTTTACTGGTGGTACGGCATTTTGTCACTTGTCAACCAGCACGGGTAGGTACCACCACGCCGCCTATTCCTGGCATGAAGCAGTAATGTATTTCGCTTTGAATGGTGGGGTGGCCGTTGTACTATATAACTTAGAGAACACATGTCTCAAGATCGCCCACTGAGTTTCTGGCCGGATCTTCTCAGTGGGTCGCGTTTCCGATCCGGTGGTAGATTCTGCGAAGCACTGCTCTTGCTAGTGCTAGTGTTAGCAACGTAACCAGGTTAGAGCGCCGTGGGCTCACCTACTTGCTCGGTTACGCTGGCATAGCGTTATTATGTTACCAGCTTAGGCAGGAAAAAAAAAATCTCAAGATGTTTGGCGGCAGTTAAGTTTTTAATGTCAATAGGCTTCAGTCCAACCATCTAAGCAACAAGGAAGGGATAACACAGATATAAAACCTTTCATTGATCACATAAACCAAGGTATCATATTTTTAAAAGCGTTCGTGTCTCATTAACAAACTGGAAGGTCGTGGCAACGTTTAAAGTAATTTTAAACACACAATTGATAACACTGTAGCCCATAATTCAAGGAATCATTAATGGTTTAAATTCTATCGATGACGAGCAAACTTGAATTTTGATCCGTTCACTATAAGAAACATAATTGCTTGTTCAGTGTTAATTACGATTTTTATTAATAGATACTCATAGTAGACCGAACCGCAGAGATTATATTATGGACGTGAACAAAGACTTTTCATTTCTGGCTACAATCAAATGTTTTCACTTACTAGTTGTCCCCCGGTAATCGAAATTCGACTATAATTAATTGAAATTATAAGTTTGTACACTATTATGATTCTATTTTCAAAGACTATTTATTATACTTCTATAATCATATAATTCGCCAAAAATACAATTTAGACAAATATTAATAAGGACAAACAATATTTAATCTATTCTCAATTTGGCCATAGACTTTAAGCAATAAGAAAAGTTTGACATTAAGCAAATAGTATACATGCGTGTATGTGTCAAATACATGGTAGTGTGTGTAATGTTTTTTTTATTGATTTGATGTATTTTTTATGCATAATTTAAAAAAAACTATTATCATTCTGCACTCCTTCTCTATATTCTCTATAAGCGTGGGAAATTTCATACTCCTCCGTCCGCGCAATCACTACACAGTATAAAACAAAGTCGCTTTCTCTGTCCCTATATCTGTCTGTCCCTATGTATGCTCAAATCTTTAAAACTACGCAACGGATTTTGATGCGGTTTTTTTTAATAGATAGAGTGATTGAAAAGGATGGTTTACATGTATAATAATAACCGGAGAAATCAAAAATTACAGTTTCCGAAGCGAAGCGAGGGCGTGTCGCTAGTTTTCGTAAAAAGGGGTACAAAGTGTTTCCTTCCGGTATTAATATATAGATATGGTTATACGAGTCCTTCTGGATAGATAACGCCTTTCTGTTCGTTTTTACCGCAAAACTCTTTACAAATGTAGTTATTCCAATGCAATTGTAATTCTGACCAAGCATATATGCTAAGGTGTGTTTTTTTTCTGGTCAAGAGAAAACGGCCGTTCTATCGTCTACGCCTTGGGAGACAGGGACGGCTCGGTAGGTGTGGGGTATCTCGGACTTAAAACGACTGATACCGTACCTCAACAACCCAATTCCAACCTCGGATGATAAAAAACTCAACCGATCATTATTTGCCCCCTCCCCTTTTTTTCCTACCTAACCTGATAGCCTTTTTTTTATTGCTTAGATGGGTGGACGAGCTCAGAGCCCACCTGGTGTTGAGTGGTTACTGGAGACCATAGACATCAACAATGAAAACGCGCCATCCACCTTAAGATATAAGTTCTAAGGTCTCAGTATAGTTACCACGGCAGTCCCACCCTTCAAGCCGAAACGCCTTGAGAGGCTATGTCAGCGTAACCGGGCGACTTGGCCCCCTGCGAAGATATTCTAATAAGATACAACATTGCCATCTGGCGTATAATTTGAACAGCATCACTATGTTTTGGATGGTTCACTATCACATGCAACCGTCCACAGTTGGATGATGGGTACAATTCGAACTAAATTATTTCATTTATAAAATGTCACAAGAATCTTGCCTTGAATTTTTATTGTACAATGATTGATTGATTGATTGAAAATTCTTTATTGCACAAAAACATTATACAAAGGCGAACTTAACGTCATCCACGGATTCTCTTCCAGTTAACCCTCGTTGATAAAGTGAAAAATTCAAGAAGTGCATAGCTGTGATAAAGTTAATACACGGCGATAATTTAAAGAATGATAGTAGACATGAGTGATAAAAAATATATTTTATAATTACATTGCCAAAATAAATGCATAAATACAAAATACATAGATACGAAATACATCCATACATATAAATAAAATTGGTGTGTCTGTTTGTAATTTTGAAATATGTAGCCGCTTTTTACTACATGCCTATAAATATATATACGGTACATACACCAAACATTTTTTACAATTTTTGTCTGTCTGTCTGTCTGTTTGTTCCGGCTAATCTCTGGAACTGCTGGACCGATTTTGACGCGACTTTCACTGATAGGTAGCCGATAACATAAGGAGTAACTTAGGCTAGGGCTTTTTTTAGACTAGCTTCGCCCCGCGGCGTCACCCGCGGTACGAAAATAACCGCGGGTAACATCGCGGGACTCAACTATCAATAATAAAATTTAATGTTTCCGAAGCGAAGCGAGGGCGGATCGCTAGTATCAAATAAAATAAATTATATAAACTACAACATACTACAAAACAATCAAACAATCTGTGTTTGGAAAAAGAGATCATGTACAATGCTTTGTGTTAGTAACAATTCTCTACCAGGATGAGTCCTCGTGATTACAGGACATTAAGACCAAAAGTGCGTCCTGTTCTCGTACTATTATTACCCCGTTCGTGAAAGAGAGAGAACCCAAGACCGCTTTGATTAATTAGTCGTTAAAAAAATTTAAACCTTACATAAAATTCCTTCATACAAAAATAAGGATTGAATATATAGGTACCTCGTGCCTAATTAATAGGCTGACCGCGAACACGGGGTCACCGAACTCTGTATACACTAACTGTACTTACTGTACTAAATGTGATTAAATTATATGATACATTCATAGTTCCCATCGAAGTCAAGCAACGGTTGGCACGGAGGGAAAACGGATGGGTCACCGTTTGCGGATTAGTACGTACTTCTCATCATGGTCAAATTCGTGTTGAGCGATGCACCGGTGTTCGAATCCCGCAGGCGGGTACCAATTTAATCAGGCCGAAATCGCGACCCACTGGGAAGATTCGGCGAGAAACTCAGTGGGCTCTTATCTTTATCAATACACAAGAAGTTTTTTATTTTTATTTTTTATTGCTTAGATGGGTGGACGAGCAGCTCACAGCCCACCTTTGTTAAGTGGTTACTGGAGCCCATAGACATCTACAACGTAAATGTCGCCATCCACCTTGACATATGAGTTGTAAGGTCTCAGTATAGTTACAACGGCTGCCCCGCCCTTCAAACAGAAACACATTACTGCTTCGCGGCAGAAATAGGCAGGGTGGTGGTACCCAACCGTGCGGACTCACAAGAGGTCCTACCACCAGTAATTACGCAAATTATAATTTTGCGGGTTTGATTTTTATTACACGATGTTAATCCTTCACCGTGGGAGTCAACCGTGAACATTTGTCAAGTACCTCTCTCTACGTATTTCATTAGAAAAATTGGTACCCGCCTCCGGGATTGGAACACCGTTACATCGCTAGATACGAATGCACCGTACGTCCTTATCCTTTAGGCCGCGACGACTTCACGACGACATCGACTAATGTGGTAAATACCCTCATTTTTCATTAAATTTTGAGCGGGATTTAAGGGCAAACACCTCAATTACATGTAAGGTAGTTACCGATCGAAGATAATCGTAAATTTCTTCAGAGATATCAAAGTAAAAATTGAACTCGGTTGAAAATAATCATCCAAACCAACGCGCAACGTCTTCGGGTTGAGATTTCTTTGATGACTCGACTTAATAGGCAGGTAGGCAGCGGCTTTGCTATGCCCCTGGCATTGCTGAAGTCCATGGGCGACGGCACTCACCATCAGGTGGGCCGTATGCTCGTCTGCCTACAAGGGCAATAAAAAATAAAATAAAATAAATAATAAAATTTAGAGAGAAAGAGAGAGAGAGAGAGATACAAATGTATCGTGATGACGCTGGGAGCGCACATGTTGTCTGGCAACACGGATCGTGTTTGTTTTATTACAACCGGCAGCTGTGCTCACATGGTTACACGCGCACGTACTTGGCACATAATTTACACAAACTAATTACAATAACGAAAACGTAATATCATCACACGGTTCAATTATTTTATTACTAGCTGACC